ATATAAATGTTTTCACTGATATATGTAGTATTACTATTTTATATTATAATCTATATTGTCTATATTATAATCTATATTAATCTATATTGTGTTATTGCAACGAAATAAAATCAATACAATTTTATTATAATATTATAAACTTCTCTTTTTCGCGTCGCGTCGTGACACGGTGGACGACGCGACGCGTGACGTCGTGACGTGCTCAGTGGACGACGCGACGCGTGACGTCATGACGTGCTCAGTGGAAACGTATCCTTATGCGTGCGCCCAATCGTCTATTACTACGTTTACATGCACGGAACGCTTTACGCCAAAGTTTTAACATCGATGTTATGAAACTGGCCAATCATAGCTATTCCTCTGAAGAATGGAATGACTGTGATTGGCCACTTTCATAACATCGATGTTATAACTTCGGTGTAAATCGAACCGTGTAATGTAGTATATGCTGCCTCCTTTTTCCAATTAATTGCGTTCAGCAGAAAGTTTATTTTGCAACTGTTGGAGATTTTGTTCGCACTGATTGGATTATACTTTTAGATTCAGAGATATGATCTTATCTTAGTAAATAATCATAAATATCGTTTGTCTCGTCTTTAGTACATTACTTTTTTAAATTAAAAAATTTGTAAAAAATATCAATATTTTCGAGAATATTGAAATCAAGACGAGATTTATTTTTGATCTTGATAACGAGATCAAGACAAGAATTAATTTTTCAATATTTTTGCGAGACAAGACAATATTTTGAAAAATATCGTCTTGTCTCGTCTTCGTGCATCACTATGCATAAAAATCCTTTGCCACGTGAAAAGAAGTCAGGAGTTGTTTATAAAATTTCTTGTAAGAATTGCAATGCAAGTTATGTGGGAGAGACGTGCAGACAATTAAAATCAAGAATTGCAGAACATAGAAATCATATCAGATGGAGCACGTTCACCCGCAGCGTCATAACGGAGCATCGGCTGCATGAAGATCATAAAGGACCCCGCAGAATCCTTATGGGAAATAGCTTTCGGCTAATTTTTTTTTAAAATTTGATATGTGTAGTTCTCAACACGTAGAACAAAAGTGTCCATGGCCACAAAGTCCGATCACGGGTAGTTTTCGAGATACAGCTCTCCAAAGTTGGACTTTTCGTTCCTTATTGCAGCATAATGCGGGTGCAGTCGATGTCGATGTATGATGATGCTTATGATTAAAGTGGGCGTGCAGGTGCTTGCTTACTTGTGTGTGTGTGTCAGCAGAGATAAGGACCTACGGTTCGTCACTCCCGCAGTATGTTATGACTCCAAACCCTCTCTCCTGTGCGTGTGCGTGTGCGTGTGCATGTGCGTGTGCGTGCGTGCGTGTGTGTGTGTCAGCAGAGATAAGGATCCCACGGTTCGTCAATCCCGCAGTATTTTATGACTCCAAACCCTTTCTCCTGTGTGTGTGTGTGTGTGTGCGCGCGCGCGCGCGCGCGCACATTATTCATCAAACACACACACACACGCACGCACGCACGCACGCACCCACACACACACACACACACACACATGTTGGAGACGCAATGATATTCGTACTCTGTAATTGCTGTTCTGTAACTCTGTAAGTGCTGTTCTGTGACTCTAGAGGCGACATCTCGCACTTGCGAGATGTAATCACGAAGGAAGTAGTGTCGGCGTAATGTGCGCTAAGTTTTTGCGCACGGACGTAGAGAAGCAGAAAAGTTAGTTCGATACCGACATGTTACGGATATACACGCGTGATCCGCTGTATCAATAAAATTCTAATATTGTCATACTCGTGCGTATTAATTGCATTTATTATTCCTACGCATTACCTTTGGATTCCCAACAGGTTATGGGCCCAGAGTTCGCGATAAAGTATTAATAAAAGGATTACAGTTTGTATTATGCGATAATTTTCTCGCGAAGGTTTAACGCGTGTGAGTGAACGATAATCGGCCGCATGAAGCAAATATGGCGGACAATATAAAGTTCGCGATAGACAAATTAAATAACGATAATTATCAAACGTGGAAGTATCGGCTCGAAATGTACTTGCTTAAAGAAGGCTTGTGGGAAGTTGTGACAGGCATGGCGCCAAAGGAAGGTACAACGACCGAATCGCAGCGCGAATTCGCGCTGTGGAAAACGCGCGACGGTCGAGCACGTGCTACGATAGGTCTCCTCGTCGACGACGACCAGCTTGTTCACGTGCGGGGTGCAACCACAAGCAAGGAAGCATGGGATTCGCTAAAGAATTATCATGAAAAAGCGACGTTAACAAGTAAAGTGACTCTATTGCGGAAAATTTGCGGACTTAAATATATCGATGGAGAGGACATGGAAGCCCACGTGGGTGCGATGTTGGATTTGGTGGCAAAATTAACGGCGTTCGGAGAGGAGCTCGCGGAAAATCTTGTGGTGGCCATGTTGCTTAGCAGTCTGCCCGACTCTTATAGCACATTAGTCACCGCGCTTGAAACGAGAGCGGAAGCTGATTTAATGTTGAGTCTCGTAAAAGGAAAAATAATTGACGAGTACAAGAGACGTAAGTCGCTCGATTCGAGCGACCAATCGGAATCCGCGTTGAAAATTACGTACGGTAAAAATGCGAGTGCTGACAAAAAGTGTTTCTTTTGCCACGGTCACCTAAAGCAAAGATGCACAAAATACATAAAGTGGAAAAAGAACAAAGAATCAGCTAATACAGTCGAATCTCAGACTCCAGAAAAATCGAGTGAAAACTACTGTTTTTACGCATATACAGGCAGCTCTCTCGAGAATGAGTGGCACATAGACTCTGGAGCGACTTGTCACATGACGAGTAATAGACAATTCTTCAAGAAATTAGTGAAAAGTGACCGAGAAACTGTTAAAGTGGCCAACGGGACTGCGGCGAAAGTGTTCGACATCGGGGAAGGTGAGATAAAATGCGTAGTGAACAATGGATTAGTGCGAAGAGTGACAGTTAAGGACGTACTGTATATACCGAGTTTGCAAGGAAGTTTGCTATCGGTAAGTGCTCTTGATCAAAAGGGATTTAAGCTACAATTTGCAAATCAGCAGTGTCGAGTGACGTTGAATGGTGCCATGATTGCCATAGGTGGCCAATCAAGAAGCTTATACCGTTTGAGACAATCAAGTGACTCAGCGGCGCTTGTTGTGAACCCGCAACATAACGCGCACTGCATACATGCGTGGCACCACAAGCTCGGACATCGGGATCCTGAAGCGATAAAATCGCTCGTCAAAGATGATCTCGCTACAGGTATGATTCTGAAGGAATGCGGTATTAAAGAAATTTGTGAGAGTTGCGTCATGGGAAAAATGGCACGTACGCCGTTCCCGAAGGAATCGCGCAACAGAGCAAAGGCCGTGGGGGAATTACTGCATACGGATGTGTGTGGGCCGATGCAAACACAGACGCCGGGCGGAAAGCGATATATCCTCACGATAATCGACGACTGGAGCAGGTTCTCAAAAATCTATCTCATGAAAAATAAATCGGAAACTGCGAGATTTGTCAAAAATTACATTTCGTCGTTTTGTACGAAATTCCAAAGAAAACCGGCAACAATCAGATTGGATCGTGGAGGAGAATATTTAAATAATGAGCTGAAATTTTTCTTAAAATCAAAAGGAATCACGGCACAGTATACTACCGCATATTCTCCACAGCAAAACGGCGTCGCCGAAAGAAAAAAATCGCTCGCTCATGGAAATGACTCGTACGATGCTTGTTGCTGCAAAAATGAACAATGTCTTCTGGGGAGATGCTGTCAACACGGCAAATGATCTCGGAAATATTCTTCCCACGAAAGCGACAGAAGCAACACAGTTGGAACGGGTGCAAACCCGATTTGAAGCAACTGCACGTTTTTGGAAATGTATCCTATGCACACGTGCACAAAAAAAAACGCCGAAAGCTAGACGTCAAGGCGCGGAAACTCACCTTTGTGGGTTACTGTTGTGTTTATGGGTGTAGAAATAGGAACCAGAGACAAACACGAGACACTTGTAACTTTTGCAGTCTTTATTCTCTAACCATAATAATCCGAGCTAAGCTGCTCGTGTCGAGAAGGCAGGAAGAGAGCCGTAGCTGGAATGCGGCCGAAAACCAAGTGCCGTAAACAGACCTGACCTTCACGTAGCGTCCATGTAAATCGATACCTAATCGGTAGTATAAGATAATGCGCGCCCTCGCGATAACGTAATAACCAATAACAATCAATGAGAACAAAACGCGCGAAATACAAAATAAACATAAACCTCTAACATTTCCTCTCGTAAAAGGAATAGTTACTATGGTTCATAATATTCAGGTTTCTTCCTGACTCTAGTTGTACGACGCAAAACTAACTGATTATCAGTTGATTCGGGCTGAGGAGAAACAGGCACATCAACAGCCCGAGGAACAATATCTTGATCTTCTACTGAGGGTTCCGATGAATCCCAGTAAAAATCTTCGTTCGAAAAGTTCCCCAAAACAGGAGTCTTATCGCCTATTGAGCGAATCTGATTTATATGTCTAATCCAAGAACGACCATCATCCAACAAAATTTTGTAGTGTAATATTCCAAGTACCTCGGTAATTTTACCAAATTTCCATTTTACTTCGTTTGAGTAGTTTCTACAAGCCACTCGCTCTCCGCACAAAAAATGTTTAACTAACGTATTTTGATTCAATGTCTTCGCTTCTTTTGTAGGAAAAATTAAATTTAATCTAGTAGATAATTTTCTACCTAAGAACATTTCTGCAGGGGTCTTATTTGTAGACGCATGCTGCATAGATCTATACTGTAACAATATTTTGCTTAAATTGAGATTAATATTTGAAGTATTACAATTCATGCGCTTCAACGCTTGTTTTAAAGTTTGCACAAAACGCTCGGCTTGACCGTTCGTTGCAGGGTTGTACGGTGCTGTCACTTTATGTACAATACCATTAGATCGCAGAAAATTCTGAAATTCTTGTGATACAAAGGTTCTACCATTGTCTGTAACTAATGTTCGTGGAAGACCAAATGCAGCAAAAATTTGCCTACATTTTGAAATTGTAGTATTCGCAGTAATATCATTAAGAACATGCACTTCAGGCCATTTAGAATAAGCATCAATCATTATTAAAAACATCTTATTTAAGAAAGGACCCGCAAAATCCATATGAACACGTTGCATAGGAGCCGAAGATGGCTGCCAATGATGAATTGAAGCTTTAGGTACATTGTTTTTATTAACATTGCAATTTGCGCAATTTTTAACGATATTTTCTATATCATCGTCTATTTTGGACCACCAACAATAACTACGAGCTAATTCTTTCATTTTAACCATTCCGAAATGACCTGAGTGTAACTCTTTTAATATTTGAGGTTGTAATGATTTCGGAATTACAACTCGGTGCCCACGCATAATGACACCCGCATGTAAATTAAACTCGATTTGATCTATGTTGAAACGATCCGATTTATGGATTTGTTTTCCTGTATGCAATGCTTGGAGTAATTTCTTAAGATTCGTATCTTTATTAGTTTCGAAAGCAATTTTATTTGCTGAAATAGGAAGAGTATCTAATGTATCCATTTGAAAAGCATCTATTACATCACTGCTAGTATTTTGAGAGTTGGCAGGAAGTCTGGATAAACAATCCGCATTGGCATGATCTTCAGATTTTTTGTATTGAATTGAATAATTGAATCCTTGTAAAAAGATAGCATAATGCTGCATTCTCATTGCAGTGTAAATTGGTAAACTTTTTGTAGGTGATAAAATTTGAATTAATGGACGATGGTCCGTTATCAACGTAAATTTATTTCCGTATAGAAACTGAAAGAATTTCTTAATTCCGTAAATTATGGCATAAGCCTCTTTATCAATCTGCGAGTATTTCTGTTGTGTAGGAGAAAGCGTTTGAGACGCAAATTGTATTACGCGTTCTGATCCATCCGGATAGCGATGAGAGAGAACTGCACCTACACCGTATGAACTAGCATCGGTAGCTAGAATTAATGGAAGTTTAGAATTGAAATGCGTCAAAACTCTGTTACTAGTGAAAGCTTCTTTAGCTTTTTGAAAAGCAAGTTCACATTTTCGTGACCAAATAAATGAAGAATTTTTACGTAATAATTCATTAAGAGGGTGTAAAATCGTACTCAAATTTGGAATAAAACGTCCGTAATAATTTATCATTCCTGTAAAAGCTCGAACCTCTGAAACATTTTTGGGACGCGGCATTAATTTGATAGCTTCCATTTTACTATCTTCTTTATGTACACCATCTTTATTAATCGTGTAACCGCAATAATTTACTTTATCCATAAAGAACATTGACTTTTCTACATTGATGCGTATATTGTACTGATGCAATCTTTTTAATACCTCATCGAGTCGATCAAAATGCAATTTGTCCGTTTCACCTGTTATAACAATATCGTCGAAAAATATGGCAACACCGGGGATACCTTGTAAGATATTTTCTATTTCCCTCTGCCAAACAGTTGGACCGGAAGCAATACCGTACATTAACCTATTAACCTGATAAAGTCCTTTACACGTACTAATTGTCAGACATTCTCGATGCTCGGGAGCAATTTCTAATTGTAGATATGCCTGCTTTAAATCAATTTTTGAAAAAGTTAGGCCATTAGCCAGTTTAGCAAACAGTTCGTCGACTGTTGGTAAAGGATGATCGTCCACTAATAATTGAGGATTTACTGTAGATTTGTAATCGCCGCAAATTCGAATTTGGCCGTTACTTTTAACTATTGGAACAATGGGTGTAGCCCATTTAGACGTTGCAACTTTTGAAATGATACCTGCGCCTTCTAACGCGTCTAATTCTTTTTCAACTAGCGGCAGAAGTTTGAAAGGCACCGGCCGTGCACGAATAAACACCGGAGAAGCATCCGATTTAAGAAATAATTTAGCTTGTAGGCCTTTAATTGCAGATAGATCTGGTGAACGTAAATTTTTATATTTATCCAGTAAAACATGTATTTTTTTATGAAAATGTACAGATATATTATCAATAGAAGCATTGCATGATAGGAAATCATTTCCATTTAACAACTGACGAATCCATTCTCTACCCATAAGGGGTTTTCGACGGCCATTTACAATGTAAATATTTAACTCTTTCTCCATCGTATTGTATCGAACGTTTACAGTTATATATCCTTCGCAAGGTATAACGCGACCGCAATATGAAACTAATTGAAGATTTGTACGATGAAAAGTCGCCCTTGGAAAAAAACTAACCAAATCTGATGAACTTACAATTGTAACTGCAGCTCCGCTGTCAACTTCGAACTCAATAGGCTTCTCATTTACCATTAATTTAATAAGAAATTTATCTCTATGATTTTTATGCTCCAGACTCAAAATCTCCTGTAATTGATTAGCGGGAGTACTACCCTTGAAACAAACGGTACTGAGATGCCCCTGTTTCCCACACGTATGGCATCGTATTTCACGATTTAAAGTACACTTGCTAGCCAAATGTGGCTTACCGCATCTGAAACATTTAACATTAGTATTTGATACATTTTTCGCATGTAAATTAGAAGAATTCTGACTTGAAAATTTCTTTGTAATGTGTTTCGGCTTCTTCTCTGCATTCTTGCCGTGAGGTTTCTTTCCCGCTTTGAGGTAGTCAACACCCATCGCCGCTGCGCTGCTTTTCTTCATCTGCTCAGAACTCTTTTCTGACAATTCCATGGTGACGGCAACCTTAACTGCTTCGTCGAAATTCAAGTCCTTACGCTCTAGAAGTCGGGCTTGTGCCTTCTTGTTCGAAAGCCCGAAGACAAACTGGTTGCGCAGCGCCATTTTCAAGTAATCGCCGAATTTACAATGGATGCTCAGCTTGTGTAAAGCCGCCACGAATTGCTGAACCGATTCACCATCATTCTGTATCCTTTGATGAAAACGATAATTCTCGGCGATTTCCAAGGGGGCCGGTTCATAAAATTCTTGTAACTTTTGAACTAATACATCGTATGGCTGTACAAATGGATCGTCAGGATCCAGCCTGTCGCAAAGTACATCGAAAGCCGTTGGCCCAACGTAATGAAGCAAATATGGCACTCTTGCGTCATCTTTGATGCCGAATATAAGAAAAGCACCCTGCAGACGCTGTACCCACCTCTTCCAGGTCGTGGTTGCTGCATCGAAAGCTTCGATTGCAAAGGATCCCGGAATCGCCGGTTTTCGATCCGAGGCTTCGGTAGACATATTGTAATAGGAAATTGCACTCGCCTAGTACGATAACCTGTATCTCGTGTAATTGAAATTCGCACTTGCCTAGCACGATAAACTATATCCCATCCTCGTCGCCAATTCTGTTGTGTTTATGGGTGTAGAAATAGGAACCAGAGACAAACACGAGACACTTGTAACTTTTGCAGTCTTTATTCTCTAACCATAATAATCCGAGCTAAGCTGCTCGTGTCGAGAAGGCAGGAAGAGAGCCGTAGCTGGAATGCGGCCGAAAACCAAGTGCCGTAAACAGACCTGACCTTCACGTAGCGTCCATGTAAATCGATACCTAATCGGTAGTATAAGATAATGCGCGCCCTCGCGATAACGTAATAACCAATAATAATCAATGAAAACAAAACGCGCGAAATACAAAATAAACATAAACCTCTAACAATTACGCTAACGATTCGAAAGCTTTCCGTTTACTGGACATTGCAACGAACGAAATTATCACGAGCAGAGATGTCAAAATAGTAGACGAAATCATGAGTATCGACAGCCCTACGGAAGTCTCACGAAACAGTGAGAAAAGGGAGAACGCCGTACAGTTACCAATGTACAAAGAAAAGGACGTCGATGAAGGTTACCCGACGGAAGAAGAAATTGAAAATGACGGCGAGGACATTAACGAAGAGATACTACAGAGAAACAACGATGAAAGTGCACTCGAATCCGAGCTGGAAGTCACGATCGGCAACAATACTACAAACGATCCATAATATGTACCAGACGATGATGACTCTCGGTACTTCAGTAAAGACGACGACGATGCAATTAGAACCTCAGCGAGAGCAAACAAAGGAGTTCCACCGGAAAGATTTGCACACTCGTCCAATATCGCAGTCCAGGAACAACGCGAGCCACGAAATTTTCGCGAAGCGCAGTCAGGTGCGGATCGTGTTTTCTGGAAAAAGGCGATGGACGAGGAAATGCATTCCCTCAAAGCCAATGCAACATGGGAATTGCAAGAACTGCCGGTTGGAATAAGAGCCATAGGATGCAAATGGTTATACAAAATCAAGACAAATTCGAAAGATAATGCGCCGCGCTATAAAGTGAGACTCGTAGCACAAGAATTTACGCAAAAATATGGTTCTGAATACGATGAGGTCTTTGCGCCCGTCGTACGACAGACAACTTTACGAGTATTTCTCACAGTGGCTGGCGTAAAAGGACTCAACGTGCGACATTTCGACGCAAAAACAGCATTTCTCAACGGCGAATTGCAAGAGGAAATTTACATGCGGCAGCTATCCGGGTACGCTTCAGAAAATCCACAGCTGGTGTGCCGATTGAAGAGGAGCTTGTATGGGCTAAAACAGGCAGCCAGAGTGTGGAACAGAAAATTAGACAGTATTCTCAACGAGCTCGGGTTCAAGTCAAGCAAAACAGACGTTTGTTTGTATACATGGACATACCCCGGTGGCCACACGTACCTCATCGTCTACGTCGACGATATTTTGATCACAAGCAAGACCAACGAAGAAATAAATGAAGTCTGGAACACACTACAGAAATACTTCAAGCTGACTGATTTGGGGGAGATCAGTCACTATCTGGGTATGGAAGTAACAAGAGGATGTGACGGGTTCTTTCATATCAGCCAGCAGAAGTACGTGGAGAAAATTTTGGACTTCACGAAGCTGCAAGATGCAAAAGAATCGAAAATCCCAATGGACCCCGGATATTTAAAATTTCAAGAAGATGCACCAGTGGTGTTAGAAGACGGAACACTACCACAAGCTAATCGGAGCATTATTATATCTGGCAGTCCACACAAGACCCGACATATCCACGAGCGTAGCAATACTGAGCCAGAAAGTGCAAGCACCAGAACAACGCGACTGGACCGAAGTTAAGCGCATCGTGCGTTATCTAAAAGCAACGAAAGCGTACTCGCTCAAACTCGGAACAAGAAACAAGAATTCATCGCTACAGGGTTATACTGATGCTGACTGGGCAGAAGATCAAACAACGAGAAAATCGAATAGTGGCTATCTATTCTTCTATCACGGAGCAACTATCAGCTGGACCTGCAAGAAGCAGACCTGCGTTTCACTCTCTTCGACAGAAGCAGAGTATGTTGCTTTAACAGAAGCATGTCGTGAAGGTCTGTGGCTACGGAGACTACTCTCAGCGACCTCGGAGATCCACAACAAAAGCCCACGATAATCTATGAAGACACCCAAAGCTGTATTAAACTCATCGACAGTGAAAAATTCAACCCAAGAACGAAGCACATTCACACGAGATTTCATTTTGTGAAGCATATGAAACAAACGGGTGAAATGTCTTTCAAGTACTGCCCGACAGAGCACATGACAGCAGACATGATGACAAAGCCGCTTAATATGCAAAAGCTCAAAAGGCACACCAGTGGCATCGGACTCGCAACATGGAAAATACACGGACATCATTGAAGAGGAGTGTTGGAGACGCAATGATATTCGTGCTCTGTAATTGCTGTTCTGGTAACTCTAGAGGCGACATCTCGCACTTGCGAGATGTAATCACGAAGGAAGTAGTGTCGGCGTAATGTGCGCTAAGTTTTTGCGCACGGACGTAGAGAAGCAGAAAAGTTAGTTCGATACCGACATGTTACGGATATACACGCGTGATCCGCTGTATCAATAAAATTCTAATATTGTCATACTCGTGCGTATTAATTGCATTTATTATTCCTACGCATTACCTTTGGATTCCCAACAACACACGCACATGCACACGCACACGCACACGCAGGAGAGAGGGTTTGGAGTCATAAAATACTGCGAGAGTGACGAACCGTAGGTTCTTATCTCTGCTGACACACACACACACAAGTAAGCAAGCACCTGCACGCCCACTTTAATCATAAGCATCATCGTACATCGACATCGACTGCACCCGCATTACGCTGCAATAAGGAACGAAAAGTCCAACTTTGGAGAGCTGTATCTCGAAAACTACCCGTGATCGGACTTTAGGGCCGTGGACACTTTTGTTCTACGTATTGAGAACTACAACATATCAAATTTTTAAAAAAATTAGCCGAAAGCCATTTTCCATAAGGATCCTGTGGGGTCCTTTGATTGGGATAACGTCAGAATATTGGATGATGAACCACACTATAGTAAAAGACTGATTTCGGAATTGATATCCATTAGGAGACAGGCACACGGACTTAATTTACAAACAGACATGGAGGGACTTCCCAAGGTCTACTTCCCGATCATAGACAGGATATAAATAACGTTGTCTGTTACGTGTCTGTCTGGTCAGTCTAGCTGGTGCATAGTGGTTAGTCGTGTCATTTGAATTTTGTGATTTGATAATTTAATCTAATACTGTCTAACTATTTACTGTGACTCAGTGTTTGAGACTGACTAGCCTAAATTGTTCTGAAGACCGGTTTTGAGATTGTTTGCGATGCAGTATCGTGGTAAATATGGTGAGTCTCCTCACTCCCGAAAAATAGTTGCAATTTGATAAATTTAATTTGGAAATGATTATTTTTCTGAGACATCCTGGAAAATTAATTTCCCATATTTTTAACTTTCTTTTATTTCTTTCCTTTCTTCCGTTATTATGCATTTGGTTGTGCTCCCTAGGATGTAATTGTCTTTAGAATTTATTTCTCGGTTGTGAGGGAGCTCATGATTAAACATCTTTTCATCTTTTGTTATTCTTTAAATTATAATTTATTTATGTAAATTTTATTGTCTCTGAAGAAGGCTAAAAAATGAGTCAAAACATGTATAACTTATTATTTAATAATTTTTTGTAACAGATAGATTTACTAGATCTATATCGGCGTTGCGTGAAGTTATCTACGCTTAACTCCTAGTGCCCTTTTCAAGTTAATTTTTGCTATTAACATTTTTAACGAGAAGAAGGAAGCCTAATAACGGTTAAAGCTAGATCACAATGCTTATTATTATTATGTGTGAATTTTATATACCGCGTATGTAGTTCCTTTAATCGCGTGCCGAAATTTTTTCGGACTTACAACGAAACTCTAATAAATTACCGTAGTAATATCACTTAGTTAAATTGACAAACAATCTAACAATTTTTTTGATGCTTATAGCATTTTATTGGATCTTAATAATATGTTGAAACACATATTAAAATGTAACGATGTAATGTTAAAGTAATGATAACTCAAAATCTGTGAAAAATAAAATTGCGAAGAATATCACAAGTTGGCGTTTCGTCCCGGCTCCATTACTGGACTCATCAGTAAGGTAATGTAGCCTACCTTAAACGCCTATGTAAGTTATTAAATCGAGATTCTATATAAAGAGATATACGCGTATCTCAGCACTTGCAAGAAATTTTTGCGAATATCGATAGATAGCGAATCGACGTAATAATATTCTTCGCAATATATATCTAAAGTAGGAATAACGTCCTTTCAGGCTCGACGCATATTTCAACAAATATTAAAATCTTTTTAGGACCGTACTATGATAATTATTTACTATAGGGGACCTAGCTCCGATCACCCTCACCTTGACATATGTTGTCAAGGTCATGATCCTGAGTAATCTCCAAAAGGTTTTAGCTATCGCTCGTCCTTCGTTAAAAAGTTATCAACAATCGTAGTTTTTAAATTACCATATGATATACATGTATGATATTAAGTACTATTCTATATCTTTCCTTGTTCAGGAACGTTAAACTTTCCACGCGAGGTAGCTTTCACCCCCCCTTGCCAAGGGGCACACGACTTCCATGATTGTAATGTTTCTATGATTGTACTTTTCCAAGAGACCTCTATCGACGGAGCGGGTGCGGGAAAAGGGCAGGCCATAGGTCCGCCCCTTTGCACCCTCCCCGTGTGTGTGCGTGCATGCGTGCGTGCGTGCAACAGTATAATTATAGAAGTCGTATGTGTAGATACAGTAGGTTCCGCCCCCCCTACGGGGGGGCTCCACTATTGTTAAAAATAACCTAACCCAACCCATTTAGTGGTGTGAGGTAGCTCTTGC